GCTGCACTAGGTCTCCGAGCAAGTCCACCACACAGCTGCCTGAACAGCTGTACTCGCAAGACAAAGGCGGGCAGCACAGGAGCCAGGATGAACACTTCAGAGCTGTGTATTTTTTGCATAAAGATCGCTGCTGTAAGAAATGCTTATGAAACTGCATCCCAGCCTTCCCAACTCCTTCCTGCACAGGCTCATACGCTGCTCTCATCCCCCTGGAATTCAAGCTCTGCCTTGTCGGTCACGGTGCTGCTGGTGCGGGCAGACCTTTGCTCCAGCCTCCCCAGAGGCACACGTGCAGAGGAGGACTTTAGGGTTTGGGTTTTTTTACTCCATTTTACCCACACCCAGACACACTTCTGTCTCTGTCTGGGAAGAAACATGTTGACAGAAACATGCCTGGCACACAGGAGAGGAAGTGGGAGAGCCATGGTAGAACACTGCTGCTCTTTTCTTAACAGTCTTGCACCAGCCCCCCAAAAGTCTCACCTCATATAGCAATGACTGTTTAACCCTTTTGGATTGATGGGCTACTAAAAACTTCCTAAAGAAAGCATGGACTCCTTAAATAAAAAGGCCAAATGCATATACTGCTGTGTTGTATAGATGGGCCTGCTTCTTCTAGTTGCTCCTCCAGAGGTATCTGTTGGAAGTAGTTCATGGGTCTGTGAAGTTAAACAGGGACAAAGCAAGTGGGGACAACGCCCTGGGACCAGCCATGAAGTTGCAGGCAGGGCCTAGACATGAATGCTGGGGCTTAAAACAGTGATGATTATCACATCAAGATCCAGTCCAGAGAGAGGGGAAACTGGGTGGCTGTTCTGATGCACACACTGGAAGCTCCCAAGCGTCTGGGCTGCATGGTGCCACCATCTCAGAGCCATCCTCACAGAGGAGGCTGGCAGGGCAGCAGCAAGCCCTGGGTTTGCTCATGTGTTTGGATTCATTCATGCGCTGCTGAAGAAGCCACTTGGCTGCGTATACGCTCCGTCAAGCCGCTCTTACAAACCCATGAGCAGACAGCTCGAGCACACAGCCCTCGCTTTGTGCCGCTGAAGTTGCTGGCAGGGCAGGCAGTATGAGAAGACCTTTCGTCACAGTCAGAAACTTGGCTGGGCTGGTTGCCTCTAACTCATCTGAGCACTTTATTCCCAAGTCTCGATCAGCCCGAGAACAACGTGCAAAGGAAAATGAGAACATCCCTTTACAAACACAACGGAGCGCTGTCAGCCAGCCAGGTGGCAAGAGATGGGAACACCTGCAACTCCCTAGCAAGTCTGGGGCGATGGCAAGTGCAGAGCACTCCCTCAAGACAAGACCCAGCGCCTGTGGCACTGAGCCAAGCATGACCACAGCTGCAAGCAAGGCCAAGGAAGCCAACCCTCCATCCCCTGAAGACATGCATCCAACAGTGAGGCAACTACAAAATAAGCAGAGGTGTGGACCAGCCAAGCATGGTCCAACATGAAGCTTCATTGGCACCAGTCCTCATCCCCTGCCCAGTCTCAGGGTGCCCCCAGCACGCTCATTACTAGGTGTTACATCCACTGGGCTTGTGCTGAGAATAGGACGGCCCCAATGACAATGGAGACACACAATTCCTCCTCTTCAAGAGGCTTCATACTTAAGGGGAAAGAAATCTACTTCCTCATTCCCTAACTGTGTGCCTAAAAACCCGAAGGTAAAATTGTTACTTTCACTACTGCGTATTAACTTGACTTCCCTACTCCGGGCCCTGGCCCTGAGCCATCAGACAGTCAAGCAGCAGGGGTGCAATCACAGGAGCTACAATTGGCAAGTCCAGTCAAGTGTGAAACATTAACAACAGGTTTACCATAGTCTGATTAAGCCAATCTGCCTCGGCGCAGCAGGGAGCAGGCCTGGGATATGTGCTTCTGGCGCAGCAGTCAATGACAGAAATGCCTGCCCAGGAACCCCAGCCACTGCCACAGCCAGCAGAGGTGCCAGCAGGGGAGAAGCATGGCTGGAAGCATCATCCTTTGCAGCAGCTGTGGGCTGCAAAATCCATGCAGCAGCTTGAAAGAGGGAGCTCACTTGCTTGAGCGACCCTGAAGAGCCCCTCTGCAAGCTCCAAGCACAGGTCTTCTCCACTGATAGGACCTTACCCCAAAAATGTGCCTTTCCAAGCATCAGTGCCCCTGAGGCTCTTGCAAGCATGGTTGCAAAACCTGCCTTAATGGCCAAGATAAGAACATCTCTAGGTACTACAACTTGCAAAATTTCAAGAAATAACCTTTATCTTTTTATATTCTGCCACCAGCCTCACTAGCTTTCTCCAGCATTACCTCAGCTCCACAGCTCAGCATTTCTAACACCACACTGCTTCAAAGAGAGTGAGGTAACCACAACAGAGGAGCAAAGGCACCCTTAGATGTTGCTATTGATACCTAGGTGTGTGACAGCAAGGTAGGTAATGGCCATGAACGGGCGGTGTGAATATGCACTGTCTCTACAAGAGGTCAAACCCCACTGGCTTATCAAGCAAGGCTTACAGCAAAACACAGCCCCCGCTTCTGCCTGAAGTCTCAGACTGTGTTTTGACATCTGCTGAAGGGCCCAGGGGTCCCGTTGGTTCACGTGGCCCATATGCCGTGCTCTGGGACATCAGCCAGTTCAATGACCCAGGGACCACACATGCATGCTCCAAGCATTTCCTTTTGGGTCTTAAAAACCATGCCTTGCTCCCCACCCCCTCCACTCCTAACATTTTCCCGTCAGCATCATGTGCTGGATAATTCACAAAATAAACTAGAAGGTGTGAGTCATGCTTGGTTTGGAGCATCTGCAGTTTTTGAATCCTGAACTGAAGGACAGGAGGGAGAGAAAAAGACAAAAGTGACACAGGAAAAAACAGTTTCATCAGCTAAAAACCACTTTTTGAGGCCTACAGAGCTGACAGATTAAGTGGCAAGAAGCAAGTGCAGCCTGTTACAAGCCAGCAGTCTCAGAAAGATGCCGAGTTACAAAGATCCCTGCAGATTAGAAAGCAAGCTGAGACCTCATCAAGACTCTTACAGACAGGGACTGGCCAGGCCACTCCAAGACAGGCAAGCCCTCCAAAATCTGCAGATCATTTCCTTGCAACAAAGCCAACATGACCAAGCAGCCACCCAACCGAAGGAGAGAGGCTACCCAGAGGGCAGCTTCCAGAAGAATGGGGACATTTCCTTCTCACCCACAGCAAAGCTGCTCTGCGAGATGCATGGCCTGACCTCGGCGTTTCTCATTTCTGTCCTGCCTCTCCCATTGCACCAGGAGATTCCCGAGCTCCTGCTACCAGACACAGGCACCGACAAAGGCTGGCCAGGACATGCTTCAGCTGCTGCAGCTACATAGACTGCATTCCTAGGATCTTGCTCACCAGGCACCGTCAGTGCCAAGGACATCCGAAAACTTGTGCAGGGAGGAAGTGACTCCCAGGCAGAGGGCAGGGCTGGGCAGCCCGGGGAGGGGAATGATTTCTGCTGCTCAGCCTGAGCACCAGAGCATCTCACATAGTCAGGAGCTACGAGGCAGCACAAGGAGACTGGGTGGCCCCACGGGGAACCAAACTGAGGGGCCTCAGCCTAATTCTTAAAAGCATAAACATGCAAAGTAAAAAAAAAATTGCCACAGAACCATGGCTTTCTTATTGGCAGTCTTGGTCTGGAAGCTAAGAACAGCTTGGGATTTGGGAAGGAGGTTATCTACTCTATTCTAAGCTAATGCCTTGAGGTCAAGGCCATGTGTTTATGCTCTGTCTGCACTATTCTCCAACAATCAGTTCTCACCTGCCCAACAATGCTTTAAAAAGGAAGACTATATATATATTTTGGAACCAAATCCTCAGAACACGACTATTTTTTAACATGCCTTGAAATAGAAATCGGCAGCATTTACAAAATGCCTTCTCTGAGGCTACTCATTGGGCATTCTTACTTCTGCAGTCCTGCCTGCAAGCTGTACCGTAGAGCAGTCCTCAAGCTGAGTGAGCATCTGCTGAACACCCCAAGGCAGAAGGTGATGGGGTGGCAAAGCATAAACAGGTAGCTGGAGATACCCAAGATCACAAAAAAAACAGCACCACAAAGGACCTCAAAAGGTCATCCTAGAGCATGGCCCAGCCACAAAACTTGATAAAATTTATCATTCTGCCTTTATTACAGAAGGCTGCCATCTTTTTCATCATTGGATAATTGCACCCAACATCACTTCATCTGCCATCTTCCTAAGTAAGAGCAACTCTTCTTATTCCCCAAGCTTAAAACACAACCCATAGGTCAAGAATGTTAAGGACCAGGTCTTTGACTTCCAGAAGAAAATGTTGAGTTGAAGCACTTCAAGCTTGGACATACAGACATACTTGAAAATGGTGCTGAACTTTGAGTACTGGCACCCATGCTTTGAATATTCAGCCTTTTCAGCCAGGTCCAGCTGCGTCCACAGATATGAAGTACTCCGAGTCACAAGAACCTTCCAAAACCCCCTCAGTCCTATAGCCAACATCGCTGCTACAGCTGCTGCCTCCTATTCCAGAAATATCTGTGCATTGAGGGATTGAACCCATTACAGCATTTTGCCACTTTAAAGCAGAGAGCAGATATATAAGCCAGGATATGTTAATGTCTGTGAGGCACTACCTGCCAGGCTCGGAACGCTATTATCTCCGCAGGTCTTTCTTGAGTGCCCCAGTGTTCATCAGCCCATACAGAACTGCCTAGACCCAAAAGGTCACTGGTGAGCTCAGCCATCACACTGTGGACCCATCAGTAACATCCAGGTGGACAAGTACAAAAACCTCAAGGCAGATATATTGGTCAGGGATGGCTTGGCTAGTCTGACACCACAGTCAAGTAGTAGACTCCAGGCAGTCAAACACACCCATCACTGGCAATATTGGAGGCATAATTGGGTCTGTGTGTGGAGGAAGTTAATCACCAATGAGAACAGAAGTTGCTTCTGTAGTCATCCTCTCCAGCATCTGACACAGCTTCAGCTGACTCAGCTAACACCACACATGCAAAATGAGCAATCAATAATAAAGACAGGGAGACATTTTCCTAGCAGTCAACCTTCACCTCCCAGCTGGGGATCACAGCAAAACAAACAATGCTGCCTCCAAGAGCTGTGTTTTACCCTCACTTTGCCCAAGGGTAAACCACCACACACATCAGTGGAGAGCAGGGCAGGAGTTACCTTTACCAGGAGAGGTCAAAATCACTGGCTCACACAGATGTCCCCAGGAGCAGTACTGTAGCTGTAAAACATGCCTTCAGCAGCGTCCCATGGATCATGGGACACCATCCTTTTCTAAGGGCGTTTTTGTTTCTTTTGCAGAGAGGATGTCATGGCAATTTTAGTTTTAAGCCCAACACCACTCATTTGAACTGGTGTAAGGGAGGGGAAAAAGAAAAACAGTCTCCTTTCATGCACAACTCAAAACAGCCACCCACTCAGAAAACTGCTCAGGCATGGAGCCTGCATCTCAAGGGATTTGCACTATATACACTCCCTTCCCCCAGACCCAACTCAATGGCGATTGCTCTATTTTGCTTTGATCTGTTTATTCCAGCTTTTATTTTGGCATTTCAGGCAATTTTATACTACACAAAACTCTTGGAAGGACACGCTGAATTTCCCAGATAGGCAAAACTTCTGTTCTCTGCTAAATGCAAGCCTAAATCCCTTGCTCAGTCCAGTGGTTTCTCCGCAGAGAGCTGGCAGGTCCACTTTGTGGTGCAGGGTGCCTTTCAGGAACCACGGCACCCTGGATTTCGGATGCTTCACTAGCATTTCTAAGCCCTCAGTTTCAGGCTGTGGTGAATAAGCTCACACAGCAGGCAGGCAGCTGGGAGCAGAGATAATTCAAAGTGTCAGCTCTCCCAGGCTTCTCCTTCGGCTTAATCCTAAAAGATAACGTAGCAAAATACAAGGGACACGATCCAGAGAGGGAGCTCTCAATGCCCCTCTGGCCCAAGTTCATGCACTGACTCAGTTTGGTGACTGTTTATGCAAGGCTGACTTCTGAAAGCCTGACGCCCATGCAGAGGGTGCCAAGTGCCAAAAAAAGGTTCCAGTTCCTCTCAGAACCCTACGGTGTGGTTTTACACCGCAGGGACTCGCAGTTGTTTGGAGGAACAAGCATCTTCAGAGAGAACAAGCAGAAGACAGACTCCCTCAGATAGATGCCACTTTCTTTTCAGCCTTCGCGTGACTTGAGCCAAGCCTGAGATTGCTCCCAGGCTTGTAGCTAAAGCAGAGCAGCATCAGCGCACATGCCAACAAGCCAGGTTTTATTCATCCAGATCAGATACCGAGAGAAACGAAGCTCCAGCAGGACGGGCCTCAGGGCAGCCTCCCAGGCTTGCTAAAAACCCGGCCAGCTGCTGCACTCAAAGCTGGAGGTGTCTGAACCGGTCCTGCAATCGGCTCTGATTCTTGCACAGATTCCTATCAGCTCCCTTTTTCCTAGAAAGGCGGCTGCAAGGACTCCTGTCTGCCACCCGTTCAGCTGCTGCCAGTACTGCAGATCTGCTCCGCGAGAACAACTTTCCTCTACCTAACCAACCGCAGATGCCCTGCGTCGTTTCAAAACCCCTCCTTGCTCTGCCAGCTCCTCACGGGTACTCTCTCCTCTACCCCCTCGCTTCCCACATTTAAGTTCTCCAGGTTTATTAGTCAGCTCTGGAGAACACAAAGTACCAAAGCTGGCCCCAGATCAGTCAAACCTTCACATCCACCTACAAAAGTCTCACAAATCAGTAAAGCTGCAGCACTAACAATACACATCCCCCTTCCTGTCACATCCTTGTGTTGGCACGCTGCCCTTAGAGCAACTACAGATTTAAAACAGTGGCAGAAGAGGGTAAGAGTAAGTCCCCGGCCTCTGAGGTCAGCTGGGCAGGGATGCAGAGCTCCCAGCACCGACCTGGAGCAAACCGCTCTGTGGCATCTGTGCCCATAGCTCACGTGCACTGCAAAGCACAAGGAAGGAGTAGGCTGGCAGCCTTTAAATGACTCCCCTCCGAGAGCACAAAATGAGCTCCCAGTCAGCTGTCAGAAGTCAAATTTTTGCTTTGGGAGCTAAATCACCTCTAGGTGATACTGTGTACTCACAGCTTCTTCAAAAAAACCCTCTAAAACTACAACAATTAAACCCAGGACCTAACCAGTTCACCCGTTATGTGGCCAGAGCTGATGCTCTGGGTAATGCCAACCGCCTGGAGTACCAGGTAACTGAGCACTGTCATCGGAGCTGGAAGTAAACCGGCCTTTTCCATCTTGTGTCAGGGATGCAAGGAACACAGGCAGGGCTGTGCAGCCCTGACCAAGGACTCAGTCCCTCCGGAGCTGCAAATAAGATCAGGAGAGCCCAGCCTCTTCCCAACACCAGCTTCCTTTGGAAACCTGGCTCCGACCCAATCGCCTGCAGGAGAGCGCAGCCCTGTGAACAGCAGTGTGCTCCGCATGCCACAAAAACAGCCAACACCCTGGCAGCTTGGAAAATTCCCAGGTCTTTCCCTGCTGTCCTCCACCACTTCACTCCAGCAGCACTGCCAAAGGCTCCAGGACGTATTGGTGAATTTAGGACATACATCCTCCCCGTGCCACCAGCTGACACCCCAATAACACAACTTCAGAACAGAGGGAGAAAAAAATTTCTCCCTCCAGAATTCCACAAGGAATGTTTGCCATATCCATACAGACATACATGAGAAGCTCAGGTGCTTCTGCAGTGCAAAGCCGTTCTGCTGTGCAGAGGGGGCAAAGCTTTCCATCCACGCCAGGGAAGGCTGCCCCGAGCCAGGCCAGTGCTGCCCCAGCCCCCATGCCAGGTCGGTGGTGACAGTCCCTCTGCGAGGAACATTCCCTGCCAGGGCATGCTCCAGCCTCTTGTCCTGTCTGGCTGTAAAGGGCCAAAGCTATACACACCGTGTCTTTTTGTGAGGTTTCTGCAGAAAGAAAAATCTCTCGCTGCCAGGAAATACTCCTGTTTGCATAAACTTCCTTCCTCCCTTTTGTCCCATTACTCCTCGGTTCAGCCCTGTCAGCATCCTTAAGGTTTGCCTGTCTCTCAGTGCCTTCAAATGTTTGCTCCTTTATGTCCTCTTGCCCTCTGTCATCACTTATTGAACGCCATATATTGAGCCCAT